GCCAAACCAACACATACCAAAATTTACACTCTAATAGAGCACTCCCCCGTGTATAGAATAAACAATAAATTAGAAAACACCCACACAAACCCAATGATTCGGGGATGAATATAGCACAGCTCACATGAGAACGATATCAGATGCAATGCTACAAAACCCTGGTATTTTTGTGCAATGGCGTCGTTATTTCAACCGATTGGTAGTTGCTTTTGGGCCAGCTGGGCCCCTTGTCAAGTGAGTGAAGATTGATAAATAGAAAAGCAACAACAAAACCTTTGGATCTCAATGAAAATAGTCACGAAGGCCAAGCCAATGAATCTGTTAAATGATCATTGGGATTTTTTCCTTTGCAGCCTGCGAACATCCCCCTGCCCCACCGGGAGTTCCCCCACACATCGCTCAGGGACCCCTTCGAAAAGCCTGCCACAGATGGAAAATGCCCAGGCCCAGGCGTTTCCTAGGTCTGTTTCGGTGTCTGAGGCGGCTGTGTTTGCTAAGGAGTATGAGTGACATGCTCCCAGCAAGGGTTTGAAGGGTTTTGCCAAGTCGTTCAATTGTGGATTCCCCCTTCAGTCATTTTTAGTTGGCTAAGAATCGTTTATCTTCGAGCATAGGCATGAGCCTTCCTCACTGTTTTGTCAAAAATAACAAGAAAGCACATCCACTTCAGGCATTTGCACCATACTAATCCATGTTAATTGTTTGTTGCGTGAGGGTCCATGTATATATTAGTTAAGTATATAATTTTGAGTCAATTGCATCAATATCCAAAGATCAAGGTGTATGCGTCAACGTCCAGCGGTAGCCCATTCTGTTTGCCACTTTGACCAGGGAATTGAACAACATCCATGATCATCCATGCCTCTTTTGATTTTAATACATATTTTGATCGGGTAGTTCCTACAGGACACTTCGCCTACAAAACAAACTAGATGAGAGGGTATTTCGCATCTGTCATTGTTTTCTTGGGTTGTGCGAACTTGTTTTTCTCCGACTCCGGTGGATACCGACCTCCTGTCCAACCCTTCCACGGGCTCCGCTCGCTCCCGCGCGCGGACATAGCAGGAGGAGCCAGCCACACACTGGGCCACTCGGTTTGACAAAGCAGAGCATCACGGCACCTTTCTGAATGGAATGGGTTTGCGCTATGAAATTGTGTGTGTGTTGAATTTGTGTGCTCTTTGAAATGAAGAAACAGACACGGACACCCTACCAGCCGCTATTAGCCGCTACTAGCCACAGACATATAGCCATCAAAGGACAGTTACGACCGGGTCAGCTGTGCATGTATGAGTCGTTTCTTTTTTTGAGTACGCTCCTTAATGTTTGTTTGCTGTTTGTGATTCGTTTGCGACACTCCAAATGTTTGATGGGCACGGGCACGAAGAAAAGTCTTGAGACCGAAATCGGTCCCGAAATCCAACCCGTGGTGCATACCCTACACCTCCAAGAACCTCAGAAGGTAATTTGGACCTTTCAATCTGACCGCAAACACCTTCTCAGAAGGTACTTGGAGGTCTAGGAATACCACAACGTTCGGAGGTCCAAAATGGCCGCGCGTCACTTGTTGGACTGATTGGATCCCAGTCCGGTAGCCAGGGATATAGGTAGGGTGTATCCCATGACCAGGTGGGTGAAAGGTTAACATGTTTTTGGGGGAAAATGCCTGCAACCAGGCCCATCATCCAGTGGGCTTTGGTCATGGGATATACCGACAAAAGTGTGCCCAACATATATTTACAGTTGTACAGCAATACAGTACAACATATAGACCAGCACCCTACTCTACAGGTCTCCTTTGGTGGCTATTGGAGACTTCAAAGTAGCAGGTGGTGACCTGTTGGAGGGTGCGCGTATGTGTATCCAGGGTGTCCAAGCTGCGCTTGTGCTTGCTGCTGTGTGTTGCTTTGCCTGGTGAAGAATACTTCGGAAAGTGACATGGCTGAATTGGGGAATCCAGGATGCACGATCCAAGAGTTGGCCACTAGGGGGGAGACATGATGATTAGCATTGGGATGTTTTGGGGCTTCCATGAGCACTCAAACATGCTCAGATCAACGGAAAATAGTCCAAACAACTGCATGAGGTGTGCTTCGTTGGAAGCCCTCAGGACACTGCTGTCCAACTCAGGTTTGCCAAGACTGCCTTTTCCACAGACATGTGGCTATTTGGATGTGCAAGCGGTGCAGCCTCGAATGTGAGACTCATGTCTGCATTGGACGCCAATCTGCGGGGGGGGGCGTGGTGAAGAACTACGAGAGATGCGCTTGCGCAACACTTCTTACACCAAAGGGTTGACCCATCAATGAATCACTTGTTCAATCATCTTTCCATGCCCAGAAAGTGGTCACGGAGCAGATTAGTGGGACTCTCTGGTTGGTCACACCGCGTAACGGTTGTAATTCTTGAGTCAGCGATCCGGCCATCATCCTGATGTTGGCATCCATGGTCCCAGGCTCTGGAATCGCTGTTGTATCGTCAACCGAGAGCTTTGAAGAACCCCATGGCCCTTCTACCCACACAGGGATCTTAGTGATTTGGCTGGTGAATAGGGTAATGGAAGAATCCCATGCATGGCCTATTTCCAGAAGGTTCTTTTGTTTCTTCACCCTTCCTCTGAGCCGTTCCGTTCAGAAGACCAGGTCCGCGACCCCTCAGCATCCGCGGAAGTCCCCGTGGGGCGACCCCTCAGCTCGGCCGGGTCCGCGACCCCTCAGTGTGTGGTGGTTGGAAACCGCACCGCCAGGAAGGAGGAGATCGATCGCGTGGGCGCTGCGTTGGAAGCCAAGGCACGGCCAACCGCCGCCCCCGCCCGAGACCGACCGGGGCGAGACCGGAAGCGCGGGAAGCGCGGCGCGACCGTCGCCGGGTGTTCAGCGCAGGTCGACCGCAGCAGGTCGACCGCAGCGGGTCGACACCAGGAAAAGCTGTGTGTGTGTTCTCCTAATTCAGAGTGGATGACCTGCACCACCTTTTTGGAGAAGTGGAAAGAGGAAGTAGAGGGGTTAAGGTCTGTTTAGTAGAGGTTAGTCCTTGTTTTTCAGGAACACCCGGGGGGTGAGTTTTTGAAGTTGACAGCACTGTGGGGCCTGCCCAAGAAAGTGGCAGTGTACTAAGCACACAATGACATAGTTGTTGTTTGGGAGTTTTGGCACATGATGCACAGCTTCGCTCAATATATATATATGTGTAATTATATATATAAAAATGCTACCCCCCAAAGATCTACCATTTTTGCCTCCCGCATGCATGTCTAAGTCAATAGTATAGATAGATCTACAAGCACTTCAAAGAGCTTGGTATCAAACAAAAACCAACCTTTACACATCAAGGAGTTTATGACTTCACTGTCAGCCTTCAACATATAAATGTGACAGATTTTCCTAAGGATCTTATACGCAAGAGAACTTTCAAAAGGGAACATGCATAAGACATACCAAAGCTTTATTTGACAAAACTCTCAATTGCTTAGGGATGATAAATAAAGTTTGATTTAGTTGAAGGACTTGACAATGTGTTATGACAACTTAAGCTGTATCAAAATCAGAGTCAGTAGAGAAAATCTAGAAGAACGGTAAAGGAATGAATGTATTGAATGGCAATTTGACAGATGCAGCTAATGTAGATATCTGTATTATACAAATACACCAAGAAGATGCTGACACAATTTGATAGACATTGAAAAAGGTAATAACACATAGATAATGTATGCTCGAGGAATGCATTAATGAATTTTATGACACTGCTCTTATGAGTGGGACAACTAGAAAAATGTGTTTGATACGAAAAACATGTGAAATTATGGGAAGAGATGAGTTGACTGAAAGGGGGTATCCATTAAGGAAATGGAACAGGTATTATATATTGACTTTAACATGTCAAAACCAAACATAAGTGTTTATACCAAAACATAAGTTATAACTGAACTGAACCAAAAGTTGAACAAAGTCAAATATACAATCCAAACACAGAAGCCAGTTCTACAGAACTTCAGTTGAGGGTTGCATTACAGTTGAGGATGAAGACACTTATAACAATATGAACCTAGCAATGTATAGCTTCAACAAGGAGGTATTTAACTCAATTCCAAAGTTATACTATTCAATTAAGACGCTGATCTTAAAGACTTTAATCAACTGTGGAATCATAAGGTATGATATATCCAATTGAAAAGGTCCCTAAGGCAATCACTGAAATTAGTATTACCAGAGCCTTTACACACACTATAAACAATGAACATTGTCAGTTTGATACATGGAAGTCATATAAACATGTGGTCGATTGTGATACGTTGACCAAGTGTACTTTCTTGTATGCAGAGAATATTTATTGGCAAATAGTGTCATGTTATTCAACAAAGCTATAATGTGATCTACCAGGCAATACGAGACAATTTTATGAGAAGAGCCAAGATACTGGCATGCAAAGAACCCAGTAAAACTGACAATATTTATTAATTACAGAGGTATTCAGAATCAGTTGGTGAACACAAACATATCTGATAATCAAGAAGAGGACATATGCAAAATGGAAGTTGATAGGTGTTGTTAACTATGGGTTGCTGGAAAAGGACGCCTCAACATGTTTGGACTCAAGATGCCTAGAAAACGTTTTTCCAGCAGTCTTGAATCGTGAGTCCATATGTGTCGCTCTACCTTTTGTGTATGTGTTTTCTTCTCATAGACTGCCAAAACCAAAACAAAAAAAACAACAATAACTCTGAGGAGAATCTTTGGTTTCAGCCTGAAGGATGTTTTTCTTGGTTTTCATCGAGGTTTTTGTTTTTTTTGTTTCATTCATGGAAAAACCAAAAAACAAAAGTTTTGTTTGTTTTTGCTTTGGTCTATACAATCACCAATGAACAAAAAACAAAAACACAATTGTGTTTTTTCTCGATAAAACATATACGAAAACCCAAAAACATTGTGTTTTTTTGTTATTGGTGCATTGGTGATTGTATAGACCAAAGCAAAAAACAAAAAAACAACTTGTGTGTTTTTGGTTTTTCTATGAATCACTCAATGAACACCCAAAACAACATCTTTCAGGCTGAAACCAAAGATTCTCCTCAGAGTTTTTTGTTTTTTTTGGTTTTGGCAGTTTGTCATAAGAAAACACATGAACAATAAATTTAGTAAAATGACGCAGTGAGCCTACCTTATTGCGTATGGAGACTACTCTATTTATTTATATGTTGTTTAAATAAATATAAATATATATATATATATTCATATGATTCATTTTCATCACCTGAGGTTAAGGCTGGGGTGTGGTCCGGGTAACTCTCTGAGTCTCTGTTTGTATATATTCAATTTTACAATTTACAAACATATGTGCAACATGAAAAAGGTAGATCTTTGGGCGGGGGGGTACCATATGCCTGGACCATCCTGTCTGGGTGTCCTGTCTGGAGATCCCGGAACGTGCTGGAGGGTAGTCCAGCCAGATCAGATGGTCGGATGGTCCTGGTGACTTAGCATTTAGCTGAGGATTGGTTCCGACCCTGGGGTGATTTCCGAGGTGTTAAGCTGAGGCTTATTTTTCTTACAGAGCCAGGTGCGTACGCTTTGGAACTTTAGTGCAGTTTGCTTTCTTTTGACATCTAGACCTATTCTGTGAGGAGTTGGGCCTTGCCAGACTGGAGAAAGAACTGAACTCATGATGTATTGAGGAAAGCTGCAACAACCTGGTAAGGCCAGTGACTCTTCAAAGAGACCCTATAGTTGTTTAAATTGTAGGCGGTCTTATACTCGTCGTGCTTTTCATGTCAGAGCACATCACTCGGCGGCGACCGGACAGAGGACAGACGACAGACGAATCCGCGTCCTTTCGACAGGGCGCAGACGAAAAGGATCGCAAAGAGAGAAACGTCAGAGATCCTCTTGGTACTCCTTGCGGCCGACCCGCTTGCGCCGCCCGACCTTAAGGTCGTCCGGCGAGTCGGTGGTTCGTCCGTGCCAGGCGAGGAAGCCAGAGAATCTGCTCAAACTACAAGCCTTCATGGTGCCTTGGAGCAGACTGATCCAGGGAGTCATGAGCAGAGGGGCCATGTGGAGTTCAAGACCAGCCGAGACAGGGCAGGTGTCTCAAAACAGAGACAGGGTGCCCCGGCTGGGGACCGATTGGGAAGAAGAGAAGGCACATCTGACGTGAACCATATCCTTCCACCTCCCCATATCACCCTCCCAGATACTCGACAGATTCGAAGAGAACCTCATCAACTCAACCTGTTGGGATAGTTCCAATATGTTCCAATATATCTGTTCCAATTCTTTCGCTTGGGGGGGGCTCCAAGGCTCCAAGCTCACCGCCTCCATCTTCAAATCTTCCCCCTCCACCGACCGGTCCGCGGGTCCGCGCCTGGTCCCAGGAGTCCATCGACCCGGGGATACGCGCAGAGGCCCTGCAACGCTTGGGCTTCCACCAAGTGCTGGTGGAGGCGGAAAGAAGAGCGGGGGATGGCCGAAGTGGGGAAGGATGGGCTGGCCTTTTTTTGGTGGCGAACGAACGTACCCCCTCATATATGATGAATGGTGGTCAAGTTCCAAAGGTACTCTAATTTGATACCACTGATATCACCAGTGATTACGAACTGAACCTTTTTGGGCGGTCAATATAGCTTAGAAGTCGATGTCTCGCGGGAGAAACTCACGACCTGTGGTGCGAGTTGCCTCTGGTGCGACCTGGGTGTTTCTATCACCATGTTGAATCCCCCTGCAGCTGCTTTCAAGCTGGAACTGGTTGCGAAGAAGAAACCTTCGTTCGAACGCACTGCGACTGGGAGCCAGAACAGACTCCCGCACAATTTGAGAAGACACTTCGGTTCTGCGTTCTTTTTTTGAATATCATCAAATATCAGGCAAGAATTCTGACTAATCACTCATGCTTCAGAGAGTCATAGTTGCTGAGACACTTTCAGAGAGTCATAAGTGCCAGACATCAAAACATCAGTTGAGGAGTGGGGTCGGTCAAAACACCTTACACAAAACAGTACTAATATGTGAGTGTTGACCGATCGCGAGTACAGAACGCGAGTTCCGTTGCCGTTCTTGCCATTGTTTCCAGGCAAGTTGCCCCAGCAAGCGGGTGCAGTACGTTCGAAAGGCCGGCGAACGAGCTACAAATAGGCTTGGGTTGTCACATGTTCCTGAGATCCTTGAACCTGTAGAAGCTGATGATAGCAAGGGGTTCAGACATTTACTTTAGAATATTTGAATCCAAATCACTCCACTGACCCCTTGTTTGCTCTTTCACTGCGGTTGCTGTACATACCTCAGAAAAGGTGTTTGCCTGAGATGTTGCCTTTTGTGGGGGTGTATGGCCACTACCCAAAGACATGAATGAAACAAAACAAACATGTGATGACTTTTGGAATTTGACCTATACATCCAGAAGCTACATCGCAAGGTACTTTGACCCTCCAAACCCACCTCAAACCTGCCCAGCTATGAAAAAACGCCTTCCCTCCTTCCTGTTCAGTTCCAGTTTTGTGTCACAGATTGGTCCTTCGAAGTGCAGGCGTCAGACCATTCATCACTGCCAGGAGAAGCCGAAATGGAAGCCACCACAGGCGGAGCCAACCGGTTGGCACCCCACGTTTCCAAGTCGATGGCGGGTGACAAAGCGGAAGAGGCTCCAGGTCTTCTCCCATGCCATGATCAGAAATTGAAATCCATGTTTCAATTCCATCGGTTTAGAGCAGAGCACTCCAACACTGCGAGCATCTCTTGGACCACGACATGTTACACATGTCGCTGTTTTTGTTCTTTTCATATTCTGAAGCTGGATCCTTGCACAATCGTCGCAGATGAGGGCACTCCTTCGTCAAACAAAAGCATCACACAAAATGCTCGACATATATCAATAGAATGGCAGATGACAGTGCAACATGTGTTCAGGCTCTGAGAAGAAAGTCTACACAACGCCTCTTGTCAAAGACCTGCGTGTGACTTTCAGGCATCCCTGTGGATGAGCAAGTTTTTGTTCCTGCAATATGGGAATGATGGAAGTCCTGTCTTGAACAATCCAGAGGATTGCAATGGATTGCACATACATATATAATCATATATATGTATAGAGAGAGAGTATATATACATTAATATGTGTGTAGACCACTGGACTCGGATTTGATCCATCTGGAATATGAAGTGTGTGTGGTACCCCTCCTCGTAAGACTCCAATATACTTCCTATCTCAGGCCCCTAAGTAATTAACCTGCACCATCGACTGGAATCCTTGGAGGATAACACAACAATTGAAGATTATAGAATATGATGGAATCAGGATGGAATCATCCTGGAACTTCCAACCAGCACTATTTTCTGATCAACATGTCTTTCGTATATGTTTTTTTGAAGTCGAGCGGAAATATGAGAAGCGAGCAATTTTCAACACATCGAACACTTTTTGGGGACACATATGTGCAAGATTGTTCAAGACATATATATATATAGAAGCAATATATGTAAAAGTTGGATCTGAGTGAACTTGTGACATCAAATCCGCCCTCCAAATCCAATGTCGATGAACCACGACAGTTTGTGACATCAAGCTCCCAACGAACGCACCGGGCGGCTGCCTGGGTCTTCTGGTTCTCTTGCTGTTGCTACTAGTAGTAATGCCAGGAGCTACTAATAGCTTCTTGCTACAAGTATAGCTTCTTGGTTCTCTTGTTGTCGTTTTTTTTGGGGGCGGATCCCAATGTGGACAGCTGATTGAGGGCGGTGAATTCTCACCAGGTCCGTCCAGCGTTGACCAGTGTCTGGGCGTTCTACTGGAGATTCTACACCAGTCCTCAGAGGTCAAGAAAGGCAGGATTTCTCACAAAGAACGGTGCTATCTCCAGGTCGTTTTTGAGGATGGTACTGTATCTATCGATTCTGGTGCCTTTTCTCCGAAGTGGAAGTGCTATCAGCTGCTATAGTGCGATTCTTTGGAGATTTTGATCTAGTTCCAAAGGCTCACAGCTATAGGTCTGAAGTGCACCCCTTTGGAAATGGGTCCTGGGTCCTGGCAGTTTTCGCCTCTCCGGCCTTCCCATCGCCGCGGGTCGCGGCGGAGCTGCGCGCCTCAGGAGCCTCGTTGTCCGTGTCGCATGTGGATGTCAACTTCCAGACGCCTGTCGAGGTGCCCTGTGTCTTGTTTCGTGCACGAGAGCATCATTGGGTTGGGTGCAGGAATGTGCAGATTGTGCGTCCCACTTTCAAGAACACCAATCGCAACTTGGGGTTGATGATGGTTGATGGATTTCTGGGTTTATAGACGAAAGGAAGCAAGTTTTGAACACTTTCCAAGTCCCCAAAATTATTGAATACATCCCCTGTTGGTATGCCTTGAAGAACTGCAACACCGAATAAACTCTGAAAACCTCGCGTTTGGTTCTACCTCGCGACCCAGAAAAGTTCGAAGTTCTTGTGGCTTTTCCTGCAGGAAAGTACGTACTACGTACTGACGTACCTTGGTCGACCAAGTGGATAATCTGAATCTTTGGTCGACCACGTGGCTGGAGGCTCTCCACCTAGCAGTGTTCACACAATGACTACACCTTGCTACACTAAAAGAGGTGTTGCATAGTGATGAATGCCCATACTTCAGAGTGCTCACTAACATAAAAGGCCTTGTGCTCGCACTGAACACTTTGTGATGTGTTGATACTGTTGATGCACACAGAACACCGCTATTTAAACGGTTTTGTCCCAAGTTTTTACCAGTGTTTTGTTGTGTTTCGAGTCGCAGGTGTTTCCATGCGACCCAGTCGTTCACCAGGAAAGCCCTGCGCCGGCTTCACCTCCAGCCCCGCCACTGCCTGAGCTGCCTGAGCTAGGCGATGTGCTTATGGGTTTGGCGGAGTTGTTTTGGGGCAGCAGAGGGGCATGACATGAAAGGAAGGACAAGGAGCAGGTGTTAAGTCCTTGTTTCTCCTTGTATCGTTTTGTTTTGTCATGTTTTTTCTATGTCCTTCTTTTGCTTCATCACAACACGATGTCGTTGTTTTTCTCTCGTCTTGTTCTGAATACTGTATTTGTTTAGCTTATCAGACAGGAGAGCACTCAGCGCTACTGTTGCTACGTGTCTCCCAGTTGGAGGATCCATTGCCTCGTTTGAAGACGCTTTTGCGATAGTCATCGAGTCATGGGGCTTTAAATCAATGTTATATATTACTGTATATATATTGTTATATATTTAGTTCAACATAGGTCAGAAGGGTTTCAGTCCAATCAAAAAAAACAACCAAGCCCCTTGAGGAGAAACCAGGTCCGTTTGAATCAATCTTCGATGTCGCCGCTGACTTAAAGGTTTGAGATACCAGAGACAGCTGACAGGCGAGAGCAAGTTTGTTTCGTAGATCTTGACAGAAGCTACCAGGACAGAGAAGAAATCAGCGAAATCGCCTCATGTTCGAACAGTGAAGATGTTCTTCGGCTGGGCGGGGTAGAGTTATACAAGAGCTAAAAGGCAAGATTACCCAGACCCTAGCCTTCCAACGGCTAAGTTTAACTCATACATGGAAGTTAAACATGGTCTTCACGCGTTCACGCTATTTCACGCTCCAATCACGCTCTTCACCACCAGCATGTTTTCTTCAACTCAGGGTTTTCCACCCAAGTCAGCTTTCTTTTTATTTGTTCTGAAGGCTGCGTTGCAGATCTGGGATTCGCCAACTTAAAGATTTAAACCGCAATCGTGCACGGAGCATCACTCCACGTTCTCGCCCCCCAATTGGATTCGCTCTTCTAGCCCATCCTGACCACGGACAGTTGAATGTTCCAGAGTTCTGCAAGAAGAACATTGTTCAGATTTGGAACGGAAAAAATTCAATATTCATGCCTTTAAGAAGGGCCATGGCATCCTCGTCACAAAATGTGTGGTGAAATCGCGCATTAAGTCCTTAGTGCTGTCCCGGGTTGTGTGTGGGAAAAAAGCCAGAGGAGTTATATGTTCTTGCAGCTATGGGTCTCCTTTGTTTGATCCCCTCACGGAGGATGTGGCTGAAACCCTTAGCTCTGCCAAATTCCAAGTCCAGAACCCCAAAGGACAAAACTCACAACCACCCGTTCAAGATTTGAACAGTGAGAACCCCAATGGGGCACCCCAGGAATGTACCTTCCAAGATGCATGCCACTTTGGAGTAACCACCCAGGTAAGTTCTCCTTTCCTGCGAAGTAGAAGGGTGAAAAACAAAGTGGAACAGCACCAATCACACGGCCTCACACTCAAAATATTCAGCTCCCGATATGCTATCAGGAAAGACCTCCCAGATTGCTCAATGTCATGAGCTTGAGAAGGGGACCTGAATCCAGGCCACAGAACTTACAGTGTTTACCGGGTTTCTCGAGTTTTAGTGATATAATAGCAAAATCGCCGAGCTGCAAAATTCTTGATGCTCTCTCGCTTAGACAGAAATATCTGTTGATCCCACTCCTTACTAGGAACCGGCGGCTGCCAGCGATTCAACCAGTGGTTAGTTTGTGAGTGTCGTATTGCATTCAAACAAAACTGAAATAATTCAAATAATTCAGGTCTTCAGGCCTAGGCTCAAAGCACAATGACACAAGTGGAGCCGCTCGTCCCAAAAAATGAATTGCGTGTTTCCCTAAAGTCCGAGGACTTCCAGGTACAGGCCAATCAGAGCGCACCAGGCGTTCACACACATCTAGGAGCCAAGCACCCACCACTCTCGCGTTGAACCCCTTGAGATTCAGGAAGGTCCCGTAAGATTCATTGAATATCCCATAGTAGTTGAATTTTTTTTGACTACAGGCGATTTTCTGTAATTTCCTCCAGGCCGAGAAATCTAGAAATGCTTGGTGGCACGCATCTTTGTAGCCAGGGACCCCTGCGCTTCGATCTATTTGCCCAAAGGCACCCATATGTAGAAACATAGCCCTTAGTGACTGAGGTCATCCAGTGCAACCACCAGCAAACTGGCGTTCAACAAAAAATAGTCAGCATTTGGCTAAGTTTACCACCAAGTAGCAAACATGAACCGTTGCAAATAGCCAACAGGGTCAAATTCACGACGTGAAGTGTACAATGCTGGATAATATCCACATCGAAGAACGCCAAGTCTGTCAGTGGGCCTGGGTTCGCACATACCAGTTGTGTATCGCCCATCGGACTCCGAATTCGTTCAGTGGTGTGGCAACAACAAAGACTACCCCCACTTGGTGTTTTATTTTAGAATCCACCATGCCATCAAAACCAAATGAACAACAAAGGCACTCCATGGAAGCTTCAGCTCTTCCATCAAAAATTGTTCCGTCGTTCTGAGGGTTGTCTCCCATCCGGTTGGTGACGAATACAACATGTAGTTCATGTCGGTAGGTTTGGATGTAGCTCGGCATCTGAAGCAAACAGAATTTGCTTTCCAATATGAGGCATGTGTAAACAGTGCACGAATCCAAACTTGATCGCCGCGTATCTCTGAGCACAAGAATTTGCGCCCGGCGCATCCGCGTTCCGTAGTTTGATTGATGCTCCAAACAATGGCTGACATGACTGGGTCGAAGGTTTGTCGCAGGTCCGCTTTCCAAACACGTGAGGACTCGATCGAAAATAGTAGAAACCTTGTCATTCTTGAGCTTTTTGGACGGAAAAATGGTAAATTGAGGAAAACTCCGTAAATGGCCGAGTTGGGGGCGTTTTGAAAGGACATATCACACTCGTCTCCAAACAAGCCAACCGGGACAACTGTCTCACCCACTGCGCGTCGATAAACCCGCGTCGACGATGCCCAAACATCATTGATTGAGTCAAGATGATCCCACCATGCTTGTATCAAGTCATCCCTCATCTCCAGCTTGCACGAGGTGAGTAGGTACTCTAGAACACGATGTGGTAGCTGCATTGGTAATCTCATCTCTCCCCGAGATCCGTCCGTTTCTTCAATAGCAACCTGAACATATGTTGGTTCCTTAGTCGGGTGGTGGGTACCACTGCACTGTAATATTGTTGAATGAGGGAACCAGTGATAAAACACAAGACAACTTGAAGGCAAAAGGTAACTGTTCAGTCGCAAATCCAATGGAAGCTTTGTTTGCTTAAGGAAATCTCGCGCCCAATTAGTTTTGTTTCTCAGGCTTGCGATGCTTTGCGTCCAGGCTGTTGTTGCCCCCTTTGATTCCTAGGCTACCAAACACAACAAATTATCGGACGTGTTCCTCAGAAACTTTGAGCAAACAATTGTACACACTCAGGAAACAACCAAGAGTCTGCATATGAAGCTTTGGCATTGCTGACGGCCGATTGAAAGCTAGTTGCCTTTGATAGCAAATGAACTGGAATGCATCATTACTATCATAACTTTTTCCCAAAGGAGTCAATGGCAAAGCATCGAGTGATCCTTGCACCAATATTGTGCACTTGCTACCAAAAATACTCCGGCGGCAAGCTTCTCCACAGTATCCCGCTCCAATGGCCCAGCGTCACCCGAAGTATCACCTGCGAGGGATGAAGGGTTTCTTTGGGTTTCTTGAGTAAATACGATTTCCGATTTCTGCCAAGTGAGGCTTCTTGACGTAATGTTTTCCAGTTCATTTGCAGGCTATCTACCACTGCACTGCCGCTACAAACTGCACCATTTGCACACACGCAAAAATACAAAAGCAAAGCATATGTGGTACTCGCGCAGTGCCTATATGACATCTGTGTGTGCAGAAACACTCGGGTGGAGATAGGGCTATGCCCCCGCGAATTAGACCATGAGCCCTGCAACATTTTAGTTGCGCCCCATCATGGAACTATCGCATGAGCTGAACTTTCTCCAACACAAGCGCCGACTTGGTACGGTACTTATGGAGGCACGTAAAGGAAGGCAGTATGAAACATTTTAAACAAACATGTCTTGCAAGTGTAGTGTAACCCATTGCCTCCGTGATGAAGCTAAGCAGATCGATCACACCAAGCTGTACACCCCAAAAAGAGCGGCTACTTCTTCTTTGACTTTTTGCCTTTGATTGGTTCACAGGCTTTCTCTAAATTGGTCCTGGCTTCCTCGCTGTCCTTCAGCAAAGCGGCGGTCACCTGCCACAAGAAAAAAACACCAGTCAAAATCTCACACCATTGGGGTGATTTCTTCAAAAAGAGCCTAGCTGACTAGAAACTTGAGTGAGACACGTTGCCCCCACCAGGCCTCAGAGTTGTCGAGGGCCTTCATGATCTTCGCACGCACAGCCTGGCAATATGGCTTAAAGGGGGAAAAGTGGACTGGACATGTTTTCTTCGACCCCACCTCCATCGCTTCAAGCTTCTCGGTCAAATCATCCTCCACGGATTTCGCATATTTGTCGGCCCTGCCCGGGTCAGACGCTCGTGGAGGGCCACAGTTCAAGTTCAAGGATTGAGGTACCGACAGGTTGGAAAGGTTTGGTCGGAGAGAGGTCTCCCACTTGATCTTGGCCGATGCATCCGAAATTGCCTGCCATGATCAAGGTAAAAAAAGTTAAGAACATATGCGACAAAACAACAAGGATTGCCTTCTTGGCATCTTTTTGAAGTTCGATCTTTTGCTTTTCATCTTCACTCAACTTCTTATCATCGCGATTCTTATCTTTCTTCTGCTTTGTTTCTTTGCGGTCTTTCGACTGTCAAACAAACGTGCAATGGCTTGTAGCATCGAACTTGACCTGTTGGTATGAAAATGATATTAAAGAATTCTCCAACTTATATTACAGGTTTTGCTGGACGGTAGCCCTCGAATGGTCGGGCAGGAAAATCCTACAAGCTTTTAATTAAAAAAAAAGTGTCATTCGTGTCCTTCTTCGACTTCGATTTCTTGTCTTTTTTGTCTTTCTTGTCTTTCTTAGCTTTCTTGTCTTTCTTCGT